ATGAAAATAGATCAATAAATATTTTTGATATGGACTAGAGCTGAACAATTAATCAAAATATTTATCAAAATCACAATAGGTCCAAGTGCAATGGCCAAATTGCAAAAGCTGCAGTTTGTTTGATGAAGGTAAAGTGTGACAAACAGCATTAGAATGAAGTACTGTAGTGCTGCAGAGATGCCCTGGCCTACCAGTCTTGTTCACCAGATTTAAGATGTATGGCACAGACCCCCCAAAAATTTCAATTTCAAAATTTCATTTTTTCTGTGAAAACTAGATTTGTGATAAAAAAATGATCAAGAATCATATTGCAATCACAATATCTGTCAAAATAATATAATATGATTATTATTAAGATAATAAACCATATTGTGCAACCCTAATATGGAGTTTTGGAATTAGTGCTGCATCAATCAGTCGATTTGTTTATTCTCTGAAAATTAATTGACAACTATTTTGATAATTGGTTTTGAGAAGAAATGCCAAAAATCCCTGTTTCGAGCTTCTCAAATGTGAATATTTTCTGATTTCCTTAGTCTTTTGTGAGAGTAAACTGAATATTTTTGTGGTTTGGACTGTTGGTCAGACAAAAAAAGACCTGAAGACATTGTCTCAGCTATATGAGCAACCAAATTTAGGTTATTTACTGTCGTACTTTGCCTGTGAAATCACTTATTTACCACTCTCAGTTCGCAGTTCCCATTACAACCCACATTTGAAGCAGTAACCCACTAAAGTTTTAGTATGCTTTATAAAATGCAAATCACTAATACTGCTGGCCATTTCCTAAAGCGTGTCTTATGTTTTTAGACTGATGGTGTATCTTCCAGGCAGCTATTTGTTCAGTTTATTTTATTTCACAGAGGAAGAAATTAAGCAAAAACTTGAACCTTGCTTAAAACCAGGGAACACAGTGGTAACCATAATAGGAGCACCATCCATACATATATTTATACTTCTTCCTTCCAGGTTGTGGCCAGACATGAAGACCTACTGTCACAGGCGACTGGAATAGAGTCCCTTGAAGGTAAAGAGCCTAGTTTACATATTCTACCATTCTAACTTCAAGAACAAAATTTAAGGGAACGGACACTGATGATGCTTGCAGAAATACCTGCAAGAAGCTGCTTTTCAGACTCTGCATCTGCAACTATTGCAGTTCTTGGATCTTACCACAAGAGAGAGCCAGCATTCCTCAGATTAAGTCTGCTAACAAAGTAGCTCTTAAAATCAGTGTCAAAATGTACTGAAAGGAAAAGATTGTGTTGTTTATGTTGTTTTCAGGGGTCCTTCAGATGATGCAGACAAGGATCAGTGCTCTGCAGGCAGCTGTTGACAGGTAAATATTTTTTGCTGTGGCTTTTCGTCAGATTAGAAGTATTTATTGTCAACATTTACCCAGATATGCTTGGTTTTTGTGCCTGCTGTTTCACACTCACTCTGTGTACAAGCACGGTCTCAGTTTTCTTTGCTGGGCCTTGGAAGAATGATTATTTGATTTAAGTGTTTCAGAATTTACATTTTTCTCAAGATCATTAAACATTTAGGACTGCACAAGCAACTGAAGTTGAAGTTTGACAAAAACATCCCTAATTATTAAATATTAAGAGTTTAACACTTAAAAGCTCAGCTGGCTGTGTGGGTGTGAGATTTGATTGTGGCCTGGCAACATACTGTAAGCAAACACCTCACAACTATCATATTTTGATTCTGATTGGTGCATTGTCCTTTTTCTAGCTTAGTCCTGCCTACGTTAAATCAGTAAAAAGAGCTCAGACAAAGACACACATACACACATCTCTCATGGGAAATAACCAAAACTGTTCCCACTTTGGCAGGTATTGGTGTGTTCATGTTTATGATGATCCCATCACTCCGTGCGAAGCTGAGTTAGAAAATTGTCAGGGCCTTTTAAAGTTCTGGAAAATGAATGGATGACATTGAAATACTTTGTTTTGTTTTGTATAAGCTCCCAAAGAAGCCTCACCTTTCTTAAAAACCCTCTGATGGAGATGTGTGTTGATTTATCAGCAGTGTTAAACCGATGATTTCTTTAGGTGAAATTTCTGAGGTGTCTAATTTAAGTTTTACCCTAAACGGGTCACAGGTTTTAGTTTTATTTACACCGAGTTAATGGAACTGAATTTTGGAGCTGCTTGTTGAACAAATATGTTGTGACAATACCAAGATTGTAGATATTATTTTTTGTGCATCTGAGAAATGTAACGATTAGATAGTTTCTCTCACACTTTCATCACCTGCCGACTGGATTGTTATAACTTTCTGCTCTCTATCCTTCTCTATCCTGTTTACGGTCATTTAAAACTCAACTGCCAGCTTTTCACCTGGAATTAAGGAGCAGGACAATATTTTACAAATCCTGGCGTCCCTGCACTGCTTACATTTTGCTTTTCAAATTGATTACACTGATGACTTTTAAAGGCCCAGGTGATATATCTGACCTGCTATTGCCTTTTGCTCCCTGAGATCCTCTGATGTTTCAAGATTTAGACTCAACTACAAAGGTGACAGAGCCTTTGCAGTCTGAGCTCCAAGAACACTTTTAAATGAGTTTTTAGTGATTTAGTCATACCCTTTAGAGCCTGACTGATACATTGGTCGGCCAATATAGTACGTATTGCTATCGGCATATACGTTATACAATATTTGCTGATCTACTGACCTTTGGAGAGTCATATTGGTGCACAATCCAGATAGAAAGGTCCATTTTCATCCCAGCTTAAAAATTCTCAATATCTGCCACTATATCGGTAATATGAGAATTTGTGCCCTTGAAAATCAGTTATTTAATATTGTTCCAATATTATTGTTTTAACTTTGTTTTATCTTTTTTTAATTTCATATTATTTAGACTTGTTGTAAAGCATTCCATAACTTCAAAAATGTGCTATATAAATGAAAGTTTTTTTTAAAATTATTATTATTATTATTATTATTATAAAATGTATTTATTGATAAAAATGCCATGCTCTGTCTATGACAGGCTTCACACGTGTCCTGGAAAACCTGGGAATTTACAGACTGGTTTCCCAGTCATGGAAACGCCTGGAATTTGATTAAAATTACCAGAAATCCTGGAGACTCTTTAAACTTTATACTGTGGTCAATTTGCCAGAGACCAGTGGAAAAATTGGTTTG